GCGATGGCGATGGTGGCAGAGCGGGAGATGCCAGCCAGACAGTGGACAATGACTTGGCAGCTGGACAGCTTGGCTTTATCTGGGGGCAGGGGGACCATGGAGACCAGGTGAGGGCTGCGGTTCTACACAGCCCTTCCCTGCCCCAGGTAGGGGACCCCACCCCCCATACTGGCAGCAATCAGGGCTACTTCTCAGAGAGTATCCCCTCCCAGCCGGAGCACCTTTCTCCTGCCCCTCCCCAGGAATGGGGAGCAGGGGTGCCCCACCCTCACCGATGAACTCGATGGACTTGTCCAGCCAGGGCAGCAGCTTTTCACAGTAATTGTCATTGATGGGGATACGCATGAAGCGGCTCTCGCAGATGAAGTCTGGCTTGGGGCAGGAGTTGCTGGCATTGAGGACATAGCTTATTCCGTTTTGGGTCATTAGATCCTGGAGAGAGGGATAGAAGGACAGGATGGAAGGGAGTGCGGTTGGGCAGGGTCTTCGAATCCTGGGACGCTCCCTCGGTGGGAGACGGGCTCCCACAGCCTCGAAGTTGCCGCGGAGCCGGGCCCGGAGCCCCGCCCACTCCCCCCGCGGCGTGCACGGGCCTGCGGAGGCCCCGCCCACAGCCTGCCGTAGGCTCCCAGGAATTTTACGGCTGCCTGGGCGGTGGCTTCACCCTCTTCCCCCATCACCATTTTTAAAACACGGGATTCTTTCAGCGCTGGCCAGGGGCCCAGTGACATCAGCAGTTTGGCATGTGGGCTCCACCGACGAGGGGGCAGGGAGCTGCCTCTCCGCCAGGCCCTACCGGGCGGGCGCTCCCCCCCTGCTCTGGTCCTCTACGGGGCGTCCTCCTGTGCCCCCAATCTGTGCGCATCCATCCCCTTCACCTCCCTTTCTCCCCCAGACAAGCCCAGGAGCTGCTTCTGAGCTCCGACCCCACCCCCACCCCACTGGAGCCCCAGCTGTGCACACACCTTGTTCAGGACATCCTTCTGGGAGCCCAGGTAGAGGTGAGGCAGGATGCGGGTCAGGCCCACACTGGGCACGGGCAGGCAGGGCTGGGAGAGGCTCATGGGCAGCAAGGCGGCGGGCTTGCCCTCACAGAGGCTGGGGAAGCAGGAGGAGAAGGTGGCAAAGCCCCCTGCAGCAGGAGGGGGGGAGGACACACGTCAGGCGGGCAGCTGGCTGGCACAGGGGAGCCCAGGACGCTGACCACTGCTGTGTCCCGGCCCGGCCCCCCAGCCCGAAGCGATGCCAGCGGCCCAGCCTCTGGCCTGAGCTCCTGGGTCTCAGCGCTGACTGGGCGCTGGAGGGCCACTCTCACCACAGCGTCCCTGCCACCCACACTCCTCCTCAGGCTAATTAGGGGCTGGCCCCACGGAGGACGCTGCTTTGATGCCCGTAAAAGTGGGGTCGAGGTGGTGGGTCAGCACAGCACGCACAGGGTCACCCCCCGGCTGGGTCAGGCTCCAAGGCCATGGCGGGGGAGAGGCTCCCGTTGAGGGTGTAGAAGACACAGCCCCTCCATACCTGTGGCCAGGGGCCAGGCTGGGCCTTCCTGCCGCTCCCCCTGGGCTGATGCAATACCTCCCTGCCTCCATCTGGCTGGGAGCCCCAGGCCAGGCTTGGGTGCCAGGACCAGGAGGCAAGAGCTTCTGAGGGAGCCCTCCCCCGCCCCCTGGGCATGGCGTCACCCACTGGAATTGGCACGGCCCGCAGGGGCATCTGCCCTCCGGTGATGGCTCCATTCCACCAGCAGGAGACAGGAGCAGAGGCTGGGCTGAGAGCTGGGCGCCCTGGGGACTGGAAGCACACAGGGCACGCAGCGGGTGTGCGCTCTGCATGTGGCTGGCACGTGCCCTGCCACCGTCCCTACATGGCGCACCTGAGTCCTGGGCCACGGGTCAGCCGAATGGCCTAATTGGGAGTCCCCGGTATACCGCGGACTCAGTGAGTGACCACAGGCCGAGCCAGTCACGCCCCTGGCCTGCTCCTTGACCTGCCTGGGACACAGCATGGTAGTGAGGCTCACAGAAAATAACCATGAAGACACGCTGAGGATGGGCCTGCCCAAACCTGGCCAGGCTGGGTGACCACTGACTAGGACCAGCAACTGGGCAGTGCCCAGTGGCCACCAGCTCTTGGTGGCATGAAGTGGGCCTCCTGGGTGGCACCGTGGGGCGACCACTCTTCCGGGAACACAAGCCCCATGCCACCTCTGTCCTGCCCTGGTCCACAGAGGCAGCTGGTGCCAGGGATGTGGCTGATTCCCAAGGACAGAGACACCTGGTGGCCTCAGCTCTCACCCCTGGCCCAGTTCAGTGGCCAGTTTGTGCAACCCCCAACCAGAATGCCTGCTGTGTGCACCCCCTGTGCCCCTAATGAAGGCTTGACTTTGGGGGAGCCATGGAGATGGGCGACCTCCAGGCTGGGGAGTGGAGGCAGCAGCCTTGGAGGAGAAGTGGTTCCTTCCTCGGGAAACTGCTGGTTGGACAGGGAAAGGCAGGTGACAGCACTGACACCACAGCTCACTGGGAAGGGAGGAGGCTGAGCTGGGTGCTGGGGTTGGCTCCTGTCCACCTCACCTTCCAGAGCTGGGGACCCTGGATGTTCGGAGCAGTCTGGCCACGTGTGTGTGTGTGTGTGTGTGTGTGTGTGTGTGTGTGTTCTCCCTAACCCAAAGGGGAGTCTCTGCACCAGTGCGGAGACCTGCTGGCCTTTGCTGCAGCTCCTAGGTAGGGCCCCTAGGGCTCCTGGGCAGAGCCAAGCAGCTTGGGGTGCCCCCTACAAACCCCCTATAGATGCCAGGCCCAGCAGGGAACCCCCCAGTCCTTTAGTGACTTCAGGGCCACCCAGGCTCTGGAGATGGGTGACAAGAGAGGGTCCCCGGGGAGTAGATCAGTGGCAGCCAGCCTGGACCCTCTGCAGGTCCTGGCACTCCCCTGGCTTGGGAAGGCGCCCCAACCCCTAGACATCCCCAAGGGCACCTTCCTGCAAGTGGAACCCCCCACCACCACGACCACCACTAGCCCTTCTCCCTCTGCTCGGAGGGTCAGGGAGGGCACAGTGGCTGGCCTGTCCCTCACAATGAAATCCAGGACTCGCACAAAAGCGCGTGCCCGGCCGCGCGCCCACCCCGCCGGCACTCCCTCCGGCCACCGCCCTACCAGCCGCTTCTGCCACCGCGCGCTCCTGCCCGAAGGCCGCCCCCACTGCTCTCCCGGGGCAGGGTTCCCACCCACCCTCAGCGCTGGGGCTGCTCCCGCCACGGTCTCCGGCCAGGGTCCGAGGGCTACACGCGCGGGGCCCGCCTCGGGCGCGCACCGGTCCAGCAGCCGAGGCATCACCAGCCCGCATTCCGCAGCGACGCGCACAGGCGGCCGCCGCTTAAAGGGCCAGGCTCCCTTTCCCATCCCTGCCCCCGCGGACGTCACAGCTGAGCGGCTTGGTGGGGGTGGGGGACACGGGTCACAGCAGATGGTTCTCAGAATCCAGCGCGCCTGACCCCATGTTCTTTCCTGCTTCTGCCAACCTCCCTCCAGCTGTGCCATCTTCATCTCCCTGGCGCTCCTCAGCGACCCCTCCCTTCATTAACAGAGGGAGGGGTCTTCAAGTTCTGACCTCTGCTGAGCTCCCCAGCCCCCACCCCCAGCAGATACCGGACTTCCCCCTTCTGGATGGGCAGCACCCCTCTTCCCCACTGAGTCTTGCCTTCCCCTTCTCACTGGTTCAGGGGCCTCAGGCATGGGGACCGCGGGCAAGGCCAGGAGGCTGTCCCCAAGTCTGGGTCCTGATTTGGTGTCGCTACCAGCCCTCTTCATGGGTGGGGGAATCATGACTTCTTCCTGGCTTGGCCTTCAGAGAAACGGGGGCACATGCTCTAACCCAGCAGGGTGGAGCATCTAGAGGGGGGAGAGCAAGTCAGGTGTGACACAGCCAGGTCTCAGGGGAGCTTTTCTGGTGCCTCCCAGCCTGGGCCCCGTGCTGGGGGAGGGAGAGTGCACTGGGACCCTCTTCTCAGACCGCCAGAGGGCCTGGTGGTTTCCACTCCTTCTCGGGTGCACACACGCACACTGGGGTTCCCGGTTGGGACCTGGGAGAGGTCCTATTGTGCCCAGGACACCTGCAGAAAGCCCAGACCTTCTGCCCTCTCTCCCCTCCATTGCCTGCCCGCTCAGCCCGCGAAATGAACCTGGGGGTGGTAGTTCAACCAGAGGGTCTGCGACTCTGTGGCTTGTGTCCACACGGACAGAAATTCCACATCCCACCCAGATGAGCTCACGACCATCAGAGATGACACACACACACACACACACACACACACACACACACACACGCTGACCGCCAGCCTCCCAGAGCCATGTACAGGTATAGACACCCCCTGACCATGCAGACCCACATCCAGACATGCACACATGTGCAAAGGGTGGCACACACACCGGCCCTGCCCACCATGCTGGCCTGGCACAGTGGGCTCACATGGCACCTCCTCTGAGAAGTCCGCCCTGAGCAGCCTGGATAAAGTAGTCAGTGGACTCTGCCTGCAGCCGCTCTCACAGGCTGTGCTGAAGGTCTGTGCTCCCACCAGATGCCAGTGCCAGAGGGCCGGCCTGGTGCCTATCAACCACCCCACCTGTGCCTGTGCATGGTAGCTACTCAGGGCAGGTGTGCAGAGGCACCCCACTGGTTGTGCGAGGGTGAGGGGAATGGCTTCCACACCCCACCCCTGGGCCATAGCCCCTGGCATGCAGAGGGCACGGGCAGGGGCACCCACAAAGGCCCCAGTCCCAGGCAGGAAGGGTGCCTCTCTCAGCACAGGCCAGCTGCATCCACCCCTGGGTCCTGGGCCACCTCGGGGAGGTGTGTCTTACAGAGGCACCTCAGCCACAGCCCATAGGAGGAAGGGGCCAGTGGGAACCACTGCGGAACCTGTGTGTGCACGTGCGTGCATGCGTGTGTGTGTGTGTGTGGGGGGGGGCTGCCCAGTCTCCAGGCTGGCCTGGCTGCTTTGGGGAGCAGGAAGCCCTGTGAGGACCTCTACTAGCCCAGGCAGGGGTCATGATCAAGCAGGTTTCCACCTGGTGTCCTGTGCTTGGCCGGAGCATTCAAGGGCCCTCCGGTGTGGGACCACTCTACCCAGACTGGGGTTCCCAGAGGGCACACCTAAGCCTCCTTCAGACAGTTGCTGGGGGGGGCGGGTGTCTTAGCAGAGACACATCTTGCCTAGATCTCTCTGCCACCCCTGCAACAAGTGGTATTTGGGGGTTCCCTCCTGTCCACCGCTTCGCCTGCTAGTGGTGGGGGTGGGCCCATGTTGGAGGGGGTCCTGAAGTATGGGGGCCCAGGAGAGGAGAACTCCAGAGGTACTGAGACCCCTGCCCCTAGCTACCCCAGCGGATGCTGGGTTCTGGGCTTAGAGAGGGCAGAGGTGGGTCCAGGACACTGACTCCCTGGTACCCCTGCCCCCAGCCAAGCCAACAGTGTGGGGAGAGAGGCAAGGAGGACGGGACGTCCTGCTGCCCGCAGGGCCACGCGGAGCTCACCGGTGAGGATGGCCACACTGTCGAAGCAGCCGTCCAGCTTGCTGAGCAGGATGGAGAGGAAGCTGTCTGTGGCCAGCACGCTGGCATCCCGGGTGCTCTGGTCATAGACAACCACGTCCTGTGGCTCCACGGCCTCCACCTGGGGGCCACGAGGGCAGAAGTCAGCGCACCCCCGGGGCACCTGCTGGACGCCCCCATCCCGGCTGAGGGGCAGGGGCTCAGGTGCCAGGAAGGAGGGACTGTGTGCTTCGCTGCCTTCAGGGGAGGGCAGACACACCAGCTACCCACTTCACACCTGGACAGGTGCAAACACCCATGGCCACACAGGCAGACCCTTGGAGCAGGCAGAGATGGGGACACTCGTCCTCAATGCAGCCACATCCTCACACACACTCACAGGAGTAAAGGGAATCGACACTCATGGGTGTCCACTGTGGGCCAGGCCCACATGGAGGAGACGCAGATGACTATGACAGGGTCCCAGGAGGCACACGCAGGTGACCACAGTGACAAGAGTGCCGGCCAGGCCTGGGCTGGCTCCCAGGATGGCCAAGGTATCCTCAGGGTCCCTGGGAGGCACATTTTGGGGACCTGAAGGCAGAGCGCCTTTGGGTCTGGACTCTCCTCCCCTCCTCCCAGCCAGTGATACGGCAACTGAGGGCTGCAGCGAGAGCCCCCCCAATTCAGGAGGCAGCAGCTGGAGGCTGGGGTTCCACCTGCCCTCCCCCTCTCCGAGTGCCGGTCCTGGGGGCCAGAACTTTAGCAGCTTTGCTCAGAGAGCGCACTCAGCCCTGAGGCCAGCGGAGCCGCCGGGCCCGGTGATGTCACCGGCAAGCAATGGGATGGTGCTCTGGCGGGAGTCCTCCTCGCTGGGGGTGATTCATCACCGGATTCCCCTCACTGAGGCTGTGGGAGCCAACTCTGAGCGCGGCGGGGGTGCCCAACAAGCAGCCATCCCACCTGGGTCCTCTCACACCCAGCTCTGTACAGCGCAGGGCCTGTGACTGAACCCCCACAGCCTCCAGGCTGCTGGGCGTGTCCCCCACCACCCCACTGGGGGTGCCACTGCCCTCCCGGGTCACTGGTCCAATGGCTCCTCCCCAGCTGGACTTGATGCTCCCAGGGACAGAGACAGCACTGTCCACTGCAGGTGACCCCAGACATTCTTGGGGGGGGGGCACAGAGGGAATTACAGGTTACTCCAGACGTGACAGGACTGGGCTCTGGGGACACGGACTGTTCAGTGCAAGCCCCTTGGCCACCCTCCTGTCCTCTCCTGAGTCCTCACAGCCATCAGAGTGTGTGCCTGGCTGGGCTGCCATCTGGGTCCGCTGCCCCTCTGACCTGTGCCCCCAGCCCACTCCGTGCCCTGTGTGTGGTCACACCTCGCTTATCCATTCAGCACCTGTCTCTGGGCTCCATGTGGGCCCCGGGGACAGGCTGGTCCTGTGTGTGGGGAGACCCCAATGCGGGGCCAAGGGAGCCCAGACAGGGTCGGAAGGCTTTGGGAGGGATGAATGGTGTCCGGGGTTATGGGGGTCAGTGCGGGTCTCCCTGGGGAGGGGCGTTCCTGCTGCCTTAAGAAGGACGCCGTGGGAGGAGGCGGTGCTGCCCCACAGTGGAATGGCTGTCAACATTCTGACCCTGAGGAACCCAGCTCGGGTTCAAGGGCAGAGAAGGGGGAGGCTGCCCAGGCCAAGGGTCCCCGTGCACCTGGCTGAGGAACTCGGCCTTGGACCCTGGGGGTGACGGGGCCTGGGCGGGGAGGTGGTCAGTCCGGGGCTGGGCCGGGCCGGGCCAGTGTGGTGGGGGAGCCAGTACCTGGCTGCGCACGGCCGGCTGGATGAGCTCCGAGATGGTCACCTTGCCCTGCTGTAGCCGTCGCTTGACCAGCTTGGAACAGCAGATGTTCACGGAGCTGCGCACGTGCCCGCGGTTGTACTCCACAAAGGAGCGGCTGTCGATGACCAGCGGCCCCCCGGGCCCGCCCCGCAGCAGGCTGGCTAGCTTCTTGGCGTCCATCACCTTCCTGGGCAGCCGGTCCCCTGCCATGGTGGGCAGTGGGCAATGGGGAGGGGTGTCCCCTGAAGTGAGCAGGGGCTGCTCCGATGGCCTGGTGTGGCCTAGAGTTCAGAGTGACCGGGCATGGCGTCAGACCTGCAGGGAGAGGCAGACAGTAAGAACACTGCAAGCCCCCGGGGTGGGTGCCCGGCCAGCTCCCCAGGTGGGGCCCGACCTCAGAGGGGCCAATGTGCGATCCCAGGGCACAGGACATCGGGGCCCTTCCTCCCTCGGGGTAAATCAGCACCCCGACTCTTCAGACAGTAAAGCCCCTAACATCTCAGCTGAGCACGTTGGAGCCTGTAACACACAGAGCTGGAAGAGGGCTCAGTGTGCTCAGCAATGGGCCCATCCAGGATGCGGCAAGGCCAGTGGGGGGCCAGAGGGAAGGGGCTTGGGGCTGGGACTGGGCTGGAGAGGTAGGACAAGGCCTGAGGGTCCCGTCCCTGGGCGCCTGGGCCCATGGACCCCAACTCATTCCAAGGCACTGCAGTCCGCCCCTGCGGCTTGTCACCCCACCTCCCCTCTCTGGCCTCCACCTTGTCCCCACACCCAGGACCCCTGGCTGCCAAGCCCTCCCTTCCACAGCACACCCTCCCTCTCCAAGCGCTCTGAAAGCTGATAATCCACACATGTTAGATGGGGGTTGGGGCTTCGTCCACAAGCTGATGAGCTCCCAGAGGCGGTGGCCGGTGGCAGGTGGCCGGGGCAGGGCATGCAGGGGGCTGACAGTGGGAGGGGCTCCTCTGCTGCCCCCACTGTCCCAGCTCTGCAGGCTAAAGGCACATCGTGTGCCTGCCACACAAAGGGTCTGGGGCCAGTGACCTCCTGCAGGGCATGTTACAGGCTCACAGAATGGGGGTGGTGGCAGCCAGGTGCTCCAGGCACAGCGGGGGCCTGGGGCCCGAGGAGGCACTGTCTAAGGGCTGGGAGATCCCAGGGTGGGGTGGGGTGGGGAGCAGCCCAACATTAAGGTTAACATGGGTGACCAGTATCTGGGACCCTCAGGGGTGCTGGGACCTTTGGCCTGACCTCTAAGGGCCATAGGGCTGAGGGACACACAGTGGGAGGGGGCTGGGCGCATGGGGACTGCAGAGCCCAGGGCAGAGGCCTCCTCCTGTGGGTTTGGTGTCAAGCCTCTGGCAGCCGCTGCCCACCTGCCAGACCCCACCTTTCCTGACCATCTAGGACTGGCCTTTCTAGAGGCCCACCTAGTCCTCACAGCCCCAGGATAACACGTTTGCTTTAAAGATGGGGAAACTGGGGCTCAGGGAAGGGATGGGACCCACCCAAGGTCACACCAAGGAGACTGGACAGAACCCCGAGCCTCTACGGCAGCCATTCCATCACTTCTGCCCTCCACCACATGCCCGCCCAGCTTGGGGGTGAGGGAGGCTGGGAGACACATGTCCCCGGGGGGCCCACAGAGAGGGGACCACCTCAGCAAGCCTCCAACCCGCAGCCACAGAGGGCGTTGGGGTGAGGCACCCTGAGAACACGTGTCACATTTCAAAGTGATGACAACACTGGGGACAACAGTGGCAGCTGCCACTGTTTCTGGGCCACCCCTTCAGGTGAGCTCCCAGGCTGGTGGGGTGATGGCGGAGTTCACAGAGAAGTGGGTGTAAGGCAGGTGTAGACAGTGTCCACCTAGCGTGGCAGTCTCAGGCTGACTGTGGAGCTGGCAGCAAGGGAAGTGCCCAGGACGCCCTGGTCAGTGGGTGGGGCCTTGGGATCCCACTCAGACACCTGCTCCCCAGGCTCCTCCATTGTGGGGGTGCAACATGGGCTGCTGCCCGTCCTGAGGGCCACACCCAGCAAGTTCAACAGCCAAAGGGCCTGCTGAGGGGCCCCCAGTTTGACTCCTCTGTGAGCTGTTTAGGAAGCTTCTGAGTTCTACCCTGAACCCATCGAGGCTGTGACAGGTCACAGCCACCAGGCCCCCTCCCACACATCGCTCCTGCAGGCCTGGGTGGGACCTCTTGCCCTTGGGACCAAGAGTCCAGCTCGGCGGCCCAGGACCCAGAGAGAGACAGAGTGGGAGACGGGTCTACCGTGCCCCCAGCCTCAGTTAGGTGGGGGCGATTACCTCCCACCTAAGAGGACAAAAGCCAACTAGAACATCAGCACAGGGAGAGGGAAGGGGGAGAGAGAGAGACCTGCCCTTAGGTCCTTGAACCTCCCAGAGAGGAGGAGCCGGCAGGGAGATATCCACCCACAGATGGAAATCGAGGCTGGAGGGGGCGGGAGCGAGGGCCAGGAGGCAAGGCCGAGAAGGAGAGGAGGGGGCAGGCGGCCCAGCCCGGCCAGGCACCTGGTCCCTGCCCGCCTCCCAAGGACCCCTCAGCTCGGCTCTATTAACCGCTACAGTATTGCTATTTGCAGCTGAGGGGGACTCATTAGCCAGTTAGCACCTCCGTCGTTGCCATGGCAACAGCAGAGGTGCCAGGCAACCGCTGCTCCTGAGGCAGCAGCCGCAGAACGGGTTGGCTCTGCAGAGCGGCAGCTCCCCTCACTTGTTCCCACCCCTTCGCCACCCCTGCAGGTGCCCAGTAGCTGGGGCCTGGGACCACCCCCTGCAAGGGCCCATGAGACCCAAAGCCTGGCGGGGTTGGGTGGATGGACTCCTCCAGGCCCCTCGCCTCTCTGCTCCGCTGGTGCCCCTCCTCACCACCAGCACCACCCTGCACCAGCTCTCACCCCTTGGAGGCCTTCTCTGAATGGCCAAGGTCTGGCCGGAGCCCGTCCTGTGGGAACCCTCTCACCCTGAGCTGGCCTCCTCGGAGTGCATCCTCACTCACAGGGCCTCATTGGACCCAAAGCTCCTGGGGGGCAGCTTACCTCTCCCCTCCCCCAAAGTGCTATGCATCAGGACCCAGAGCTGGGCAGAGTTGGGGGATGGGGTGGAGACGCTAAGGACAGCCTTGAGCAGATCAGTGGGGCAAGAACAGGCCAGGTGGGCACAGTGGAAACAGATATTGTATGGTCTTGGCACCCCCCACTTTCATGGACCCACCCCAGGCTCAGCCCAGACCCCATTCCTGGGAACTGAGGGGGAGAGCACCTATCATCTCCTATTTCAGAGCCTGGGTATGGGTGGGAGGGAGGCATAGCCCCGTGCACCCCATCAAAGGCTCAGAGCCAAGAGACAGCCATTCCCAGTCCATAGGCAGGAGACCCTGCCCACCCTGCTCCTGTGTGTGCACCTGCTGTGCCCGCCGGAACATGCCCCTTTGCACACTGACTGCACATGGATGTGTGCGCACCCCTTCCCACAATCCACCTCATCCCCCCTGCTGCTGTGTGCAGTTACATGCAAATGTGCGTGCACATACATGTGGTCACTGGACGCATGCGTCCTCACCCTCTGCATGCCAAATCCCCCCAAATCCCAGGACACCAGAATCCCAGGTGCCAGCTGCACAATCTCACACCACCGGCTCCCAGAGCCTCCACAAGGTACATTCATGTCACTGCACTCGCATGACCAGGGAACTCCCGACGGACAGCATCCTCACCAAGGTACCTTCTGCATGGCATCTAGTGATGGGGGACTCACTACTTCCAGAGATGGCTGTCAGGACTGTCAGCCACGGGAGGACACGGACATGGCCCTTAGTCAGAGGAGTGGTGCCTGGCACACAGGCAGACTCGGGAACAGCTGGCAGTGAAGGGACCTGAGATGCTGAGATGTCCAGCTCACCGTGACCCAAGGGCGCCTCTGGAGGCAGAAACTGCCACACTAAGAGGCCTGGAGAGACTGCTAGGGGGTGACCTCTGGCAGCGTGCTCACAGCAGGTCAGCTCACATTACCCTCATCCGTGCTCAGCAGGGACCTCCAACTGCTTGCACCCTGGCTCCCCCTCTCAGCTTCCTGGGGTGAGTGGGACAGGACCCAAGCTGCTTCACTCCCGGCTGGGCCCATGGCAAGGCCCAACAGAGGCCATGGGCTTGGGAGACGATGGGGTGGGGGTCCTGCCCGCTTCGTTCCCAGGGGCCTGAGCTGAGCCTGGGGTGAGAGGGCGTGGCACGTGAACCCTTGAAAGGGCAGGCTCAGGACCCTATAATATCTGGGTTTTTTCTCTTCCTGGCTTGTCCTAGTCTCCCTGATCTGCAGGACTTAGCTCCGCGCTATACATCCAGGCCAGCACAGCCCTCTGCTAGTCGCTGTCCACTATGTCACACACTTGGGCCAGCCCAGGGCATCTACCGGTCACTGTCCTGAGCTGTCCAGGCAGAAGTGGCCTCAGCCCATGCAGGCCCGGTCAGTCTGATCACATCTGCCTTGCTGTGTGTTTGGCTGGCCCCCTCCTCCCCTCTCCCTGTGAGCTGCACATCTCGGAGATGTAACCAGGACACTCTCTGGTTCTCCTCCCCTGACTACAGCTCATGGCCCCTGGCACCGTCTGTCCAGTTAAAACTTCTGGGCCCTGAGGTCAGCTCAGCCTGAGAGAAGAGGTGATGCTGGGAAGGGTCCCAGAGCAAAGGGTGACTTCAAGTGTCTTTCTGCATCTCTGATCAGGGACTCGCTGTTCCTGGAGGCAGCCTTGGGCCCAGGAGCCTTCCCAAGGGCTGAAGGCAGCAGGAGGTACTCCAGTCAGACTTCAGGGTGAACCCCCATCCTTGGCTGGTTCTCATTAGCCATCTGAGGACTGAATGCATGGGACACCTGTCCTCCCTAGCAGGGCGGGGGCACTGGCTGCTGCATGCATCGGGGGCTGCTCTGGAAGACCACGGGGAGTGGAGAGCCTCAGGCTTCCACTCAGGCCCGGGGGGCGGGGACCCAGAGCAGGAGGAACACTGATCCCCTGGGCCTGCAGCACCCCACCCCAAGCGGCACAACAAGAACACTGCAGATCCTGCCATCTCTCTGCTCCAACCCCCAGCCCCCCACCCCCATCACTGCAGCTCCCAGGTCCCCAACTCCCCCCAGCAGAAGCCAGAGGCAAATTCTCTCAGAAGGGATGAGCTAGTGGGGGCTGGGGCCGTTGGTGCCCCCCGCCCCTCCAGGTTAGACTATTAGGTACCCTCCCTCCCCTCAGGTGGGTAGATAGGCCCAGGGAGGCTGGCCGCGCTCAGCCTGGCAGTGCCAGCCCCTCCCCCCAGCGCCCCGGCTGCCTCTGCAGCAGGCTGGCGATGGTCTTTATTCCGCAGAGGCCAGCTGCGCACCCCGAGGTGGGGGTGCCCGTGGTGGCCCTGGGCAGACGGGGGAGATGGGTCTGCAACCCCTCCCCGCCGAACACCGAATGAGCCCTTTCCTGAGCCTCCCACAGGCCAAAGGCCCTCCCCTCTGCTGGCCAAGGCCTCCGCATCCCCGATCGGCCCGCCCGTGCGGCAGGGACGACCTTCTCCAATCCTGAGCTCCAACGGGGGGGCTACCCGGGGTGGGGGGCGTCTCCGGCTGCAGCGGAGGTCCGGGCAGATCCTCGCTGGCTCTCAGATGGCCCTGCCGAGTCCTTCATTCACGCCCCTCCCCCCACTAAGATAAGAAGCGATCGCAAGGAGAAAGGCGGCGAAGCGGTGGCCGGTTCCCGCGGGGCCAGGGTGCGCTGGGCGCTGCGGGAGGCGGGGGAAGGTCTCCCCGGTCGGGTCCGCGGCGTCCCTGCGAGCCCGGGCCGCTCACCTCCGGGCCCCCTCCTCCTTTCCGGCGCCCGCGGGGAGCAGCCCCCTAGCCCTCCGCGCCGGTTAACCCCCTCCCGGCCGGCGGTGCCCCTCACCTCGCTCACTCTCGCCTCCGGGGCGCACGCAGGACCCGCGCCGCTCTCAGCGCGCCCACTCGGCTGCGCCTCCCATGGGCCCGGCGGGGACCCGCGCAGCCGGGGC